CGTATTCGAACGAGTCGATTAGATATACAAACCTTTACAGCAGCCTTACGAAAGACGCTTTCGTGTCATTTCACGTCACGATAAGAACGGCAAGGTTAATTGACATGGCTGCGTTCACACGATTAGCATAGATCGTCTTTAAGCAGCATACGTTGACGAAAAAGTTATGCACGCTAACACTAAACTTTCTACTAATCCTTCCCAGACACTGAACGAGACACCAATCTCACGTTCAAGCTCGCATTATTTCCCCGCTGCACCAGCTTCAGACGAAACATCTGCTTCACGTCTTAGCTGGCAGCCTTCACAACTTGCCACGACTCCAAATGAGGTTTCATCTTCTTATTCAAGTCGGAAACCACCACTTCCTGCCCCGGTTTTGGATGAGGCGCTCACTCAGACCGGCAGCCTCGCGCAACGGTTACGACCTCGGTTTCATGTTCAAGTCAACCCGATGCAGCTTTGTCTTGACTATCGAACGAGACTTCTGTTTCACGTTCTGGTCGAAGGATAGTTTTACCGGCACGTTTTCGAACGTATGTGAAACTCAATCCTAAAACATTACACATTGCACAGCAATACTATTGCATGGACTAATATCGCGAGTTTCGATATTTGTTTAGCATTTATATTGCTGTTTGATACTGAAAGTGCACGCATTTGCCTACCTGCGGTTGCTAAATCACGTGGTTCTCTCTTTTCGTTTTTATATTCACTGGGCCACATACGTGCCCTGGCTACTGCATTCATGGTCCAACGTATTCTGCACGAATTTTGGTTCCACATATGCCGCCATCGGTTCAACAGGTTATCCACGAATCCAACGGCATGCCCTTTCAACCAAGTGTGATTCCGGTTACCGCAGTCAACATCGTATGTACTCTGGCTCGGGCGTAGCACGCAAACTGGTCAACCCAGAACGCAATCCTCGATGGTATCCTGTTCCGATCCCAATCACGGCAACGCATCTGACTTGACACTGAGTACCTTACTCCGCAGTTCCAATGCCCTCGATGCTGCCCCGACCGCGAACATTAAGTACCTACTGCGAACTTTTATGAGCATCATGCACCTCAGCACAGCATCATCTTTGTCTTGCCATTACCGAAAGTTGTTTCACACTTTCTAGCGGGGGGCTGCTGTAGCGTGGCCGATTGTACGGTGAAAGCCGGACAATAGAAGACATTTACCGGACACCTTTTATCCACAATCTAAATGTATGTTCACATTTTTAATTCAGTACCAACGCTATGTGACGTTTGTTTTATCCGATCAAAAACTCCTGTATCCTTCCACGAAAGGAACTTTCACTTTTTCGCTTTCGCTCCGTTTTGCTCGTTATTGCGCTCGTTGGTTCTCATGCCTCCGTGCTTTAACGCAAACGCTCGTTAGCCGGTACCGGTACTTTCTCCGTGCCACGGTACCTCAAAAAACGTCTAGAACAACAAGTCTTCTGGTTTAACCAGCTGTAACTTGTTTGTGTAGCGAGCTCGGGGTTCCCGTCCTCAAGCGCGTTACGGCCGGTCGTAATTAAGGTAATGCAATTAATTTTGATCACTTAATCCCCAAAACGTACCAATTCGGACTTTTCTTGAACTCATTACCAAACATGAATCATTGCCCTTTCTGTTTGGCCTAACTGAATTTTTCACATTAATTTAACGATAAAAGCTGAATAATGAAATCACCGACGACATGTTCGCTGACATAATAGTCCTAATAAATGGGCATATTGCACAATCATAGGAGTTTAATGGAAGCAATAATTGTAAGATTTCTACGAAGGATAAAACAAAAGGAAATCAAGTCATTCTTTCTCGTTTGCTCCTAAGTCAAACATCATTGTGTTCTTTGATGTGCTTCAGTCTCGGTTATCGTTCGATCGATGTAGATAGTACTATTGCTACACCTTCGCGGTAAGCGGTTTTTTACTGCAGCTGTCAGTTCACTCACACACGTTCCGATTTGACAACCAGCTAATGATAAAACTGGTTTAAATACAAGATTTTCAATTACACGGGAGAAATGGAGGATTTGGTTTACTTATATGTTGAAGTCTGTCGTTAAAGAAATCAATGAAACGTGAACTGAAAAGCTAGGAAGCACTGTAAATATGCTCCGCCCCAGTTGTCTCATCAACAATGTGAATTCGTCAACCAAACTGGGGGTCGAACCTGATACCTCATATTCAGTACACAAGCGTACTGCGCACTCGGCTGCTCGGCAGGTGATCAGACCGTTTTTCATTTTCCTTATCCATGTTAAAGTTCAACCAATCTTGGCAAAAATTTTGACCATTTTGTTCCTCCGGAGCATTTGTTACAAGTATACTTAAAGTTCATAGAGAATCTACTCATAAGTGCAATCTGCAAGCAAAACTAAGCAAATTCCAGTGGAAACTTCCGTTTTTGGCTAAATACTTCATAGTGTTTTATCGAATTGTTTTTCATGTGCTTTAGTCTTCTTTTGAACCTCTGAAACAAACATCGCGGTATCATGGATGCATCCTTCGATGTATTGAAGTTTGCTGGTCCTATATACTAAAAAGTTATTTAAATAAGTTGATTCCAATTGAGAGCGTCATAAACTTATGTTCAGTGAGGATAACCATTCATAAAGCTCTGCTGCAGGTATCCTCCATGGGTACTATATTAATCTAAAACACAGCACAGCCACTTCACAATCACTTCTGATGTCACCTCTGCTGGTGATGAAACATTTGCAAAAAAATAGCCAAGCTCGGCGAACAGGCGAAATGGAACAGCACATCCTGAATTCAGTTTTCTATTATGTTGATCACATCGCGTTCACAGTGCACAAGTCTTTAATCATTTTATGAAGGGAAGCTCTAAAATCCCCTACCTTCTGGACTGTTTGATGCATCCACTTGATTCTGCGCATGCGTAGGATTCAAACTGGCAAGTGACAAATCGATGAATGTAGTTAGTGCAACTAGTTAAGCTAAAAGGTAAAACCTTAGAGCAACATATGTTGCAGTTACCCATTCAGTTATGTAGTAAATTTGGTAGTTGTCATCAGCTCAGATACCTCTACTATCCTTTCTCAGTGGCAAAACTAACTAACTATTGGCTGGAGTTTCTGTCATATGTGATGAAATCATCGATATCCTGATCCGGTTTACTTGGAACAGGGAATAATAAATAAATATTGCCTCAACAGGAAAGGTGTGGGTAAATTAGGTCTATATTTCTTGAACTGTTTGGTCAAAGTTTTAGATGACGAAACCCAATGCACATTATTTGAGAGTCAGTGAAAGCAGAAAATATTGAACAATTGCAGCATCACCCGGTTGTAATTTTTTGTCCAGGAGTCGCCTACAACTAGACAGACATGCTCTTATCTGACTAGGTGCAGATTGCTTGTATGTGATCAACTGCGGAATCGTCACCTGCTCCGATGAGTCAGGTAAAGCTTTTATGACATTCTTACAGAAAAAGGTCTAATTCGCTCTCTGATGTGCTTGATTGACCAAAACACAAAACTTATTATTCTGTCCAGGATCCTTGGTGACAATGCTCGTTTTGACACCGTAGGAAACTCGGTTTTATGGGCAAATCCTAGAATACTTTAGAGATCCCGTGGGGCCAATTGCCTTGTTATATGGAACATTTCAAATAAGAAAACAGCGCGTATTGTAATTATAGTTGTAATATTAAGCAAGGTTGAATGAATAGTCGGGATACGCGAATGAATAGCGGCATGAAAATCACGGTAGACTGGATACAGGTTGGAATCAAGGTTAAAATAGTTGACCAATTATGTCGCCAAACCTTCCTTCGGGGTAAATTGCCTGGATAGGCATTAGTAGATTATTTACAGATCAGACCGTCACTACAATACAATGCGAACGAAGTTTAATACCTCCAAAGGAGTAAAAATATTGTTTTCGTGGTGTATTCAAAAGAATAAGCTAGAAGTATTATATTTTATTGTGTACTTAAATATGGTTTTATGAAGTTTGAGCCCCTAATCCATGGAAGGCTACCTCTGCATTCACAGGGGAGTTATTGTATTCCGTTAGCAGTCACGATTGCCCTGTATTAGATGGCACTAGTTTTCGTATTTCGGGCTTTTTTGACTGAACCATTTTGAGAGGACGAAACGCTTCGCACTAGCATTATATCAGTCAGATCTTATGAAGGTGCCTTTTCCCAGTCTTGAAATACTGTTTCCTCGATCAATAGGTTACAATGGTTTGGTTGGATAAGTGGCCTGACTAAGCTAGTGGATGCTGCTTGTAATCAATCTGAAAAAAAGAATGCAAAATTGGTGAAAACTACGCTGATCAGAACAACAAATGTGTTCATTGAAAGGCTTTATTCCTGCACACCTGATACCTGGTACTTTTCCAGCACTGAATGAAGAGCAAAAGGACATCAGCCCTCTCTCTGTTCACCGTATGTTACAAGGTGTATAATCTGACTGGAAAGATGCCACTAACAGAATGTGGGGGGGGGGGGGGG